GACTGATTACTCAATGTGACTTAGGCGCTGCCGACACAAGAGTATGGTCTTTAAACGAATTGGGGGGGGGATCAAAAAGCCAAATAATCTCTTTAATTATATGCTTAAGACCCTGAATGGAAGAAATTAAGGGATATGAAGAAACAAATGTATACTAATTATTCCTTGTTTTGCAGCAAATGTATTTCTATGGTAACCACTGTGGTCTTAGAAGAAATTAAATGACTTTTAAAATCAGATCATCAGCAAAGTTACCCAGTAGAGCCACAAACCAATACTCTTCCAAATAAGTTTTTAGATGATGAAGGAGAAAAGCATTCATTTCCCCAGCTGTTGGCCATTAGAACGACAAAATGGCATTTTCATTAAAAACCACCAAGTACTGTAAAGGTTTTCTTATTTGTTATGGGAGAAGGGTGTGGAGCTTTTCTGAGTGGGGGAGGGGGTCTTCTTTTAAGACTTTAAATACACTGCATGTCTCAACATAATACGGTATAGGGAAGATGTTAAGGACCATTTCCAGGGCCTACATTGTCTGGCAAATAGACAATGAAGGCACACCACCCCTAAATTTTTAGGTGCCTTCTTAAATGTAACTTAATCCTCCAGCCATGTAGCTTTCCTTTAATCCGCCTGCAGTGCAGGGCCCATATTATGGAAAGATCCACAGACCCCCTTAAGAGTTTGGTACCTTTTCTTCTTATACTGCCTCCCATTCACCCAGTTGTATGCAAACAGAAGGGGCGGAATCTGCTGTGCATCTTTAACATTTGATTTCCACTTCCATCTCCTGATGCTAACCTTTAACTTAGAAGCAAATTATGATTACAGTGGTACCTCGGGTTAAGAACTTAATTCGTACCAGAGGTCCATTCTTAACCTGAAGCACCACTTTAGCTAATGGGGCCTCCTGCTGCTGCCGTGCCGCCGGAGCACAATTTCTGTTCTCATCCTGAAGCAAAGTTCTTAACCCAAGGTAATATTTCTGGGTTAGCGGAGTCTGTAACCTGAAGCATATGTAACCCGAGGTACCACTGTATATGAATGGGACGCATTTCTGCACAAACAGGACAGTCCCTGCAAATGAAGAAGGTTGACTTCAACCTTCAAGGGGGGGGGGCTAGAATCCCCCATGGTCCACTGATTTATGAACCTAGGAAAATCCCAGTTTGAAGGATGCTGCTCCAGTTAGAGCCATTGGTCGGCTCGTGAATCCATGGCCATATAAATGGTTCCTGGGGACCTGCAGGGTGGATGGAAGTCTCATCTCTCTCTACCCTGACACACACACACACACACCCCATCCCTGATAGCAAATTATGGCAGCTTTATTGCTAGAACTGTGACATTCTATCCAACATATTTTTGTTCTTTTGGGTCCTGTAGAATTCCTAGAATGCAAAGCTGGAATGTAACTTTCTGTAATGCTCCGGATCTTTTCTGCTCCAATGTCCCAAAAGTCTGGCCCATTTCACAGAAAAAAGGCAGCCTATAATCAATCCAATTATAGCGTTCCACAAGTAGTGGCAAGGAAGAGCATTTTAGAATTGGCTGGTGAATACAATTTATCCAAAGGACTGGTTTGCGCAACCCTGATCCTAATCCTAGCAAAATTAGGATGCCATAGTCTCTGACTTTGGTGAAGGATTTAACGTTGAACCATCACATTTTGTGTTGCAGAATGAAATGCAAGCATGACTCAGTGCCATTAGCACAGGCTTCCTCGACCTCAACCCCCCATATGTTTTGAGGCTACCATTCCCACCATCCCTGACCACTGGTCCTGCTAGCTAGGGATCATGGGAGTTGTAAGCCCAAAACATCTGGAGGGCTGAGGTTGAGGAAGCCTGCGTTAGCAACCTGGAGTGACCCCAGAACTCGCAAGAGCAGAAGACTGCGTATATTGTCACCTGAAGGCTAAGACATGCATTGCTCATATGATGTCACTCTTGCAACTTCTGAAAGGCTAATGACTTCTTCTCCAAAGCCTGACTCTGGGTAGCTTCATGCTACAAATTATACCAGGTCATAAAAATGCAGCATTTCATCAGTAAGGACCATTACTGGCTGTAGTTCAGCATAATTAATATTTGCTCCCTTTCTCTGGCTGCTTAGTCATGCTCTCTGTCCTGGATGGCATCTATTCATAAGGACTTTTCCAAAACTAGCAAGCAAAGAAACAATTTCCCCTCCTGCCAGACAAAATGCAAGTTTCAGAGCACTTCTGTTCTTTTTTGCCTGAGACAGAGAATTGTATATAGTATCGCTAAGGAATCGATCCTCAAATTTACTCTGTATCTTGCCTTTTCTTCTTCAGTGAAACTCTAGCTTTCAATTTAATTTCAGTAGGGTGTAAACTTTGTTAGGTGGAAGAAAGATAAAATGTATTGGCAGAAATTATTGAAGAACTAACTCATGAAAAAATTGAAAAGAAATGGGAGAAAAATTAATGTAGTCAGAGAACAGAGGAACAGATTCTGGACCGTGTGCCTGAGCACAGGAATGATGGCAATGTGAAAGAAAACTGTTTTAATATTCAGTATCAGTGATGTATGGAAGTGAGAGCTAGACCATAAAGAAGGCTAATCTCCAAAGAATTGATGCTTTTGAATTATGGTGCTGGAGGAGACTCTTGAGAGTCCCATGGAGTGCAAGAAGACCAAACCTATCCATTCTTAAGGAAATCAGCCCTGAGTGCTCACTGGAAGGACAGATCCTGAAGCTGAGGCTCCAGTACTTTGGCCACCTCTTGAGAAGAGAAGACTCCCTGGAAAAGACCCTGATGCTGGGAAAGATTGAGGGCACAAGGGGACCACAGAGGACAAGATGGTTGGACAGTGTTCTTGAAGCTAGCAACATGAGTCTAACCAAACTGCGGGAGGCAGGGGAAGACAGGAGTGCCTGGCGTGCTCTGGTCCATGGGGTCATGAAGAGTCGGACACGACTAAACGACTAAACAAAAAAAAAAATCAGTTGCAACTCATACCAAAAAAAAAAGGTAAGTATTTTGCTGAAGACATAATTATACATTCTGGGGTTTTGTTTTGTTGTTTTGGCATAATTAACAGTCTGTGTCTCATCGTAGTAGCCCACCAGGTAATGATTCTAGAGCATATTAAAGCATTGCAATATTCCATATGGTTCTGTTTCTGAACAGAAATGATGCTTAGCCTGGCTATGTAATGGTACAGCTCACACTCTGGCTCTGTAGGTTGTTTTAAATTGTTTTTAATATTATGTTTTAATGTTGTAAGCTGCTTGAGACCTTAGGGTGAAGGGTGGACAATTATTTATTAGTAGAAGTAGTGGTGGTGGTGATGATGATGGTGTAAGTTGCTTTAAAAAAAGAAACACCCACTTTTTGCAGAAGCTTACTGTGCCAAGTACCTTGACCATTCCATAGCCGTCCACTAGGGGGTGTAGGAAGCCTAGCACCTTCTGCTATCTACTATGATTAATTGCATTGTCTGCCTGCCTCAGCTCCTCCTGCTGCTGGTGTCAGAATTTCAGAACATCCACGCTCCTGCGTGGCAGCCCACGGGAGCCCTCTGAAAGCCCAATATAAACACAGAGAACCCAAACCCCTGCTGCTGCACACCTCCTAATACGATGGCCACTATGCAACACCCCCCTGTTTTGTGACTTTAACAGGTGCACATGTATAGAAACAGCTTGCTGAATGCAATAGTGTCAACAACTCCTGAACAATTTTTTTTTCTTGTGCACAGATCTCAAGTTTTTAGGCACCTGGATATGGGCTGATTTAGGCCTTAAAATAAGCTGTGTGAACAACCTTACTGCAAGCTACTCGTTTTGAAGGAAATTGGTCTGTCTAAAAGGCTAATGGATACACTCTCCCATTAGACCGGTCTGTATTATTGCCGGGTTGTATGTCAAATGCATTACTTAAGGCAAAGGGCATTGATTTCCAATGGGGTGACAGCTACAGGAAAATGACATGCAGATAACTGGCTGAAGGCTGACATTCTTCTGGAACAGGGGGGCGGGGCTGACACTTTGCATAGTCTACTGGCATACCTCATCTGTACTTAAGGTAAAGGTAAAGGGACCCCTGACCATTAGGTCCAGTCGTGGCCGACTCTGGGGTTGCGGCGCTCATCTCGCTTTATTGGCCGAGGGAGCCGGCGTACAGCTTCCGGGTCATGTGGCCAGCATGACTAAGCCACTTCTGGCGAACCAGAGCAGTGCACAGAAACACCGTTTACCTTCCCGCCGGAGTGGTACCTATTTATCTACTTGCACTTTGACGTGCTTTCGTACTGCTAGGTTGGCATCTGTACTTAGTGCTCCTCTATATACTCTATGGCATTAGAAGTGCCAGATGCACTGGTTGAGACCAAAGCACACCTAATCCTTTCTTCGCAAGACTCCAAACGCTAAGTGGTCCACCAGAAATTGGAGGGCCCCCCAATGGACCAGTTTAATGCCCCTTATTTCTACTTGGTTCTGGATAACTCTGAAGTGTTTGGAGTGTGTTACATACAATCAAGCTGTTAGAGCCCAGAAATAGGCTTTTTATTTTTCATTAGAAGTATTTTGTTTATTATTGAAATTTAAAATAAGGCTTGAACCCTTATCAGTTTTTAAATATTGACTGCTTGGCAAGCAGTGCATGGAGATCATCATAATTTGCTTTTACACACAGAACATTTCCATGTTCAGAGTGCTTCAGATACAATATCTCAGTAAGACTGAAATCAGCCCTGCAAGAAAGACCAGTATTAATTTTGCTCCCCATTATTGTCAGCTTCGTAGGGGGCTGGGAGAGAGTGTAGTGTCCTGTCAAGGGCAGTGTGGTGTAGTGGTTAAGAGCAGTAGTCACGTAATCTGGGGAACTGGGTTTGCGTCCCCGCTCCTCCACATGCAGCTGCTGGGTGACCTTGGGCCAGTCACACTTCTCTGAAGTCTCTCAGCCCCACTCACCTCACAGAGTGTTTGTTGTGGGGGAGGAAGGGAAAGGAGATTGTTAGCCGCTTTGAGACTCCTGAAGGGGAGTGAAAGGCAGGATATCAAATCCAAACTCTTCTTCTTCTTCTGTCAAGGCCCACCTTGTCAATTTACTGCTGAATTGAGAATTCAGGGACTTCCAAGCTCTCAGCTCAGCCTTCTTCCTTATTTCCCCTCAGGTTGGATTCTCAGTATTCTTGTTCACAACTTATGCTTTGTCATGACTGAAAGGAAAGCAATACAATATAATTTAAAGTAGCATAGATAACATCTGTGCAAAGCAAGGTGTAATATAATAAACCCCATAGGGCTTATTTGTTCCGCATCCCACATTGTGGTACTCACAGTATCTTTAGATTTATGACCTCTTAATTCATAGTTTCATTAGAACTACAGCGTTAGCATTACTTAAGCAAAGGAAATCGACAATTAAAAAAGAAACTCAAAGTATTTCCCCCTGCCATCATGGTCATTTTGGGCAAACTTAGTCTATAAAGAGAAGTGTTGTCAGCAATGAAAGGAAGGGGTCATGCGCTGGGGATTCCTGCATGAGAGTGAGGAGAACATCTTCTTTGCCTGGCGCTGAGAAGGAACACATTGCTCCAGGGAAGGTTGCCAGATGAGGATGCAACTTGTGGTCCCTCTCCTGGCCACATTGAGGATAAAAACCTTCGTGAAACCTGGATTCAGGGTTCATCATGATCCGGAAAACCTGAAATCTGAGACTCAGCTACATTGGCAAAGAAAAAGTGCTTTATATGCGTTGTATATGCATTATAACACTGTGACACCAGATGGCGCTGTGGAGTTCTGTTTTTGCCAACCTGATTTCTCATACAAAGTTTGCAATGCGTTTAACTGAAATGCTTCTTTGATGCGTCTAGACTTCTTTGATGCGCCTGGACTTTACCACTGGATGTTAGAGTCAGTCTGAAGGCACATGCATTCCTTCATCAATCACAACCCAGAAAGATTTATTGGCACAGATCCCTGTGCCAATGTTATAATTCTCATTTTACAGATGATCAGCGCTTGGCTAGATGTTATGCAAGGCATAGAATGTGATGTGCTATCATCAAGTTGTGTCTCGTCCCTCTTGCAAACCAACAGTCCACTATCTGAGGGTGGGGTATACATACAGTGGTACCTCAGGTTAAGTACTTAATTCATTCCGGAGATCCGTTCTTAACCTGAAACTGTTCTTAACCTGAAGCATCACTTTAGCTAATGGGGCCTCCCGCTGCTGCCACGCTGCCGGAGCATGATTTCTGTTCTCATCCTGAAGCAAAGTTCTTAACCCGAGGTAATATTTTTGAGTTAGCGGAGTCTGTAACCTGAAGCGTATGTAACCTGAAGCGTATGTAACCCGAGGTACCACTGTACTTTGCTAAGATCAAGCCACTTTACATTTGCACAAATGTTACAAAGCAAAGGTGCAAGAATGGCATGGTCTGGTGACAAGGCGCTTCACTTGCATGGCCATTTGCCCTAGCACAGTGGTGAGGACCTTGTGGGCCACAGACTCAATGAAGCTATTTTCTCTCAATCCCATCCACCTGCCCTACATTTGATGTCATGCATACCATCAGGTGGGCAGAGCAGGTAAAGGTATGGCTCCCTTCAGAAAGTGGATTTGCACCTGCTGCCAATGAGGTGGTCAGAAGCTCCTGCAAACCTGCCCATGCAGTTTGATTCAAACGGTGCAGGCAGATGAACACACTTCACTTGACATCAAGGTGATGTCAGGTGCTTGGCAGGTGAGTGATCCCACCCATCTGTCAAAATGCCCCCTAAGGGTTGAGGGAGGTCAGAATCCAGCCCACTGGCTGTATCAAGTTCCTCACCTCTTCTCCATCATAAGGAGGGCAAAGCTAGGAACTCAAATTTCCTGCAGTGCTCTGCATAACAACTGAACTGACCTCAAAATGCATTGATTTCTGCAAGGTTGCTGGCTTGAAACAGAAGTCAATGTGTCTACTTGAAAGAAGAACTACTTTGAAAAAGCTCTGGATTTAATTTATCAGGGAAAAGCCTGGAGTAGGTTAGTACATATGCTCGTGGAGTTATATCGGTCTTCCATATCTGCCAAGAGGATGGAGCTTTTCCATACCCCCGCCCCGCTGCAAGTCTTCTCACTGTGACTCTTACTCCCTTTCTTCAAATTATTTTACTCAAGTTCTGTAACTGAGCTATAAGTGTGCAAAAAAGGAACAGGTGAAAAATGGCCGGGGGTATAAACACAAAATGGGAGATGGGAAATAGGTGTAGACACAGCTTTATTAGGGTGCTAAAGCATCCTGTTCATGAATTTCTGGCTCCTTTCCATCTAAAATAGGTATGAGCAGCAAATTGTTGAAGATGGCTGGCTATGTGAAGTTGAAACCTTCAGAAGAGAAAAGGAAGAGAACCGGGAATTGCAGTCTAAGTCAATGATGTTTTATATGTCTTCTGGTACCCAAGCTTAATACATACACACACATCACAGAATCACACACACACGCTTGTTAAAGAAGAGCAGATGTTTGACTGTTTCCTCTAAAGAAATGGTAAAAATCTGCCAAGAGTGATGATGTACTGAACTAGCATAATGGCATGATACAAACATGCTGTAAAAAGCAGCAGGAGGTTGCCACAAACACTGAATTTCTAGATGATCAGTTTACCACACATTCTACCAAACATTGGCAGCTGATATGTGAAAGAAAAGAAAACCCTTACTACTTGATAGGATTAGGCAGCTGAGCAAGCTACCTCAGGGTAGTTTACAAAGGTGCATGTCCACATGCACACACACACATACCTTGCCAAGGCTGTTTGGGGTAGCCATCCGTTCCCATCATGATATAGCAGTGTTCCCTATGGGGCATTTTATACTATGGCACAGTGCGGCTGGTCATCGGAGCTTGCATAGCACTGTGCATGAAAACCCTGGTGATCAGCTGGTGGCCAGGGCTTGCATAGCTTGCTGCACAGTGCAGAGTTTACATGCAGAGCACTTTTCAAAAATAATTCACCTGATGTAACTGCAATGTCATATGATCGATGGGTGGCTGGCTCTCCCCACCTCTTAAACTTGATCTATGGGGTTGCGGGAGATAAGGATTTGCCCCATTATATAGGGCTGAAGAATGGGAAGGTGTGCTCCTTGCAACCCTGTCGCTACTTGAAGCAGCAGCAAAGCTTGTTCTGTAAAAGAAGAGAACGCAATGTTACCCTCTGCCATATTCTTGTAATGACAAACATCCTGAGACCACAAAAAAATTACTAGCATTCATCATCACCCAAAGGATGAATGCTTGCTGCTTTTGCCCAACCACCAGTGAAGGCAGCTCCATTAGGGTTCTGTCAGCCCTCAGAGAGCCCCAAGCTGCCTGCCGCCTTATTTGTAACCTACCAGAAGTTGCCCTGCCTGTCATTGGCTAAGGCTCCACCAACTGCTGGTCTCCCTGCCTTCGACCCTGCCATTTTCAGTGGCCGCCACCCAGTGCTAGCAAGAGAGCAGAGCAAATCGTTTGGCTCAGCTCTATGCCAAAGAGAATGTGTCTCACGATAGACTCAACTACATCGCGGCGTAATAGAGAGTATGCAAAAGAGTAGCAACCAAGATTGCACAACTCTTCTTTTTAAAAAAATAAAATCAGAAGAAGCATAAGGAAACAACAAGCTGATGCAAGTGTTGGGTAGATGCCCCATAAAAAGAGTTATCTCATGTTATGGTTTATGAGGAAGAACATATTAATACTACAAAGGTTACCAGGAAAGTACAGGAAAGTACACCAAATCCATCATCAAGGCAGTACAAGACATCTGATAGTGGCCTACCTAGACAGTGAATAGCCCAAACTAGGATGATTATCTGCTAACCTAGGGCTCTTTTACTCAGCCCCGTGGATGCAATGTGCCAATTCCAGTCTCAAAGTGCAGAAGTTCTACAACAGCTACAACCACACCCAAGTTCATCTTTTCACTGAAACTGGGGGACAACATAGGTGGGAAAGCAGCATATTTGGTGGTAAAGCAACTTCAAATCCAATATGCTGAGAATGATCAACAGTGTTGTAACCTAGTTAAGAAAATCTTAGTTAGTGAGACATGAGTGTCTTGATCTGTTTAATCTATTGTTAAAATTTGCACATGGATGAAACACATATGTCATAGCATCATCTTAGAAGAGGCAGCCTCTCCTTTGTGAGAGATGCAGGTGGAATGCCTATTCTAAGACAATGCTTGCCACATAATTCTTAAGTTAAATCTGCTTCATTCAAGGCAATTATTTAGTCAATTAAGACTGCACTCCTGACCTCACTTACCTAGGAGTCAGACCCATTTAATTCAATAAGATTTAAAGGTAAAGGGACCCCTGACCGTTAGGTCCAGTCGTGGCCAACTCTGGGGTTGCAACACTCATCTCGCTTTATTGGCTGAGGGAGCCGGCGTACAGCTTCCGGGTCCTGTGGCCAGCATGACTAAGCCGCTTCTGGCGAACCAGAGCAGTGCACAGAAATGCCGTTTACCTTCCCGCCGGAGCGGTACCTATTTTTCTACTTGCACTTTGATGTGCTTTTGAACTGCTAGGTTGCCAGGAGCAGGGACCAGCAATGGGAGCCCCCGTCACGGGGATTCGAACTGCCGACCTTCTGATTGGCAAGCCCTAGGCTCTGTGGTTTACACCATAGCACCACCCAATAAGATTTACTTCTGTGAAAAATAGTTATTTACACTGACATGAGAGTAAGTTTCATTGACTTCCATGGGACTTACTTCTGAGTAATAATAATAATTAATTATAATAATTTTATTTATTATTTATTATTTATACCCTGCCCATCTGGCTGGGTTTCACCAGCCACTCTTACAGAATATATAAAACATAATAAAGCATCAGACATTATAAACTTCCTGGTACAGGGCTGTCTTCAGATGTAATGAATAATAATTTTATTATTACTACTACGCAAGTAGACATGCATTGCATTGCACAGCAACAGTTTTGATGGATTACTCTAACTGATTATTCAATTATTTGTTGCAGCTCTAGTGTTGAACAATAATCATTCTGCAATAATCATATTCACAGCTTGGATTCATTTCTGTGCCATGTGGAACACTAAAGGAACAGCTGCCTCTGTGGGTGGCTTCTATAACTAGGTATTCCAGGAAGCAAAGAAATTGTGGTGCCTAAAATCTTTATCTCCACACTATAGCTTCAGGTGACATGTACCTCTGTTATCACAAAAGTTGTTCCTTGTCACCAGGTGTGTTGCCTTCACTTAGGGTGGTAAGTTTCACTATGCTGCTCCAATCAGTAATATAGCACTCAGTTTAGCAGCACTAATTTGATTTTTTTTTAGCGGTAAAAATGCCAAGGTGCAATTGTTTCAGTTTAGCATGATTTCCAGCATACTGTCTGATTATACTCTATGATTTCCTACAAACCCTCTGATTACACTCTTATGGGGGGGGCAGGGGTTTACGTACATACAGTCTGATTTTATGCATGCTTGCTAAGCAGTAGGCCACACTGAATTCAATGGGATCTGTGGACTGCAGTTATAACACTCCACTGCATTTCATCACAGTCAGCTACAAAACTGTCTGATTATTTTCATCCCATCAGCTTCTTGAGATCTTTAATAACATGATCTATGAATAATACTATGCATGTAGTCTTTGCCCTAAGTGCTTCTGCCATAGCTGTCAACTTACAGATTTGAAAATAAGGGACCAGCAGCCTTGAAAATAAGGGACCTGCAGCCTCACCTGTTCCAGGCACTCCAGTCTTCCTGTCCTCCTGCAGTCTGGTCAAACTCATGCTGGTAGCTTCGAGAACACTGTCCAACCAACTTTGTAACCAGAGGTTCAACTGAATAGAATCTGAATCACATGCACCACAAGGCGTATGCAGCCTCAACTTAAGATGGCTCCCCGGCCTGGCTTTGCACTGCAAAGTTTGCAGCAGCACGTGCAACAAAATGGCGTCCAGCATTCAAAAAACCCCTCAGCTTGCATTAACTAGCCACACACAAGGCATGCAAGCTCCACCCCACCCAGTCGTTCTTAGACTTCTTATTGGGTGAGCAACACAGCCAAGCAACACAGTTGGAGCCTCCCTCCTCCCTGGCCAGCAGGGAGGGAGAGGAGCTGCTTCCTTTGAAATTTAAGGGACATCATTTAAGGGACATATAAGGGACATATAAGGGACAGCAGCGGGACATGGCGCTGGAATAAGGGACTGTCCCTTCAAATAAGGGACACTTGACAGCTATGGCTTCTGGTTTCTAGCCAGCTGCAAAATGCAAATGTTTCTCCTGGGCAGGAGAGAGTCAAAACAACTTCTTCTTGCTCTCCTGAAACAGACAGAATGCTGCTTTCAACCCACAGCCTTGCAAGTAGGTGGGGGCTCCTGGGGTCTGTCCCAGTGGTGACTGGTGCCCATTGGGAATGGTGGGGCAGAACCCTGGCTGCATATTGGGCAGGGGGAAATACTGCATTGATGGAGTGACACCCGCAGCAGTGAGCAGTGGGCTGAGCGAGCAGAGCACAATGCTCAGGAGCACCAAGTCCACATCTGGAAGCAACCTAGCTGTTCTTCGCTCCCAGTACGTTTGCAAGCACGATTCAAAGTGTTGGTGCTAACCTTTAAAACCCTAGACAGCCTCAGCCCGACATAACTGAAGGAGCGTCTCCCCATCATTCAGCCCGGACACTGAGGTCCAGCTCCGAGGGCCTTCTGGCGGTTCCCTCACTGCGAGAGGTAAGGTTACAGGGAACCAGGCAGAGGGCCTTCTCGGTAGTGGCACCCGCCTTGTGGAACGCCCTCACATCAGATGTCAAGGAAATAAACAACTATCTGACTTTTAGAAGACATCCAAAGGCAGCCCTGTTTAGGGAGGTTTTTACTGTTTGATGTTTTGTCGTGTTTTAATATTTTGTTGGGAGCAGCCCAGAGTGGCTGGGGAGACCCAGTCAGATGAGTGGGATATCAATAAGTTGTTGTTGTTGTTGTTGTTGTTGTTGTTGTTGTTGTTATATTAGCCCCACATCACATGGCAGTCTGGATCTGGGAAGATGTAACTGCATTCCCTGCTTGCAGTACATCACTGACTGCCTCAGCTTCAGCAAACATCAAGGTAAACAAAAGCCTAGAAAGATGATCCTTTGTTCACCTGATGCAACAGAGCCCTATTTCCTTTGCACTGTTTTAATTACAGCTGCTTTAATATTTAAAAAAATGCAGCTACCTGACTCCGTTGCAGAACTTCTGTAGACTACATTTAGATTATTAGCACCCTTGATCCTGAAGGCTCGAAATGAATGCTACTAGCATTCACCTTCGTCGCCTTAGGATCCTCCTCCACAAATCACACTTGTTCTCTTTCAGTATATTCACTCTGCACTGTCTGCAGTACTGATTTCCTAAGGGCCAGATGCCACAGGCACTCAGGATAGATCCGTCCAGTGCTTTTTTTCTGGGGCGATGCAAGGGTACGCATACCCCTAAACATTTTGTGAATCTTTGTACTTTTGTCCATTTACTGTATTTACTTTTCCCAATCTGAACTATAAAATGGTGGTTTTCTTGAATCAAAATGAGAGTACCCCTAAACATTTTTTTAGAGGAAGAAGAAAAAAGCACTGGATCCACCTCACAATATCCTTCTTCCACTTCCCTAGCCTTGTAGGATTTGTCCAGTTAAGTCCAGATATTATTGAATGCTTGGAATAGAGGCCACTTTTGAAAACCAGTATTCTTCAAAGATTGCTGCAAGAGGCGGGGAGCAGATGACAACTATAATATTGTTGACAGAGGTAGGAGGACTCCCGAGGTGAGTAAGAGCAGCTCTGCAAATGGATAGGTTTGTTGAGGCATGCCTGGAAGAGCATCAGAATTTCCTTTTGGCAGAAGTCGGATGACGGTGGTTGTTGAGGTAGCTCCTACAAGCCTAATTTTGCACACCGGCAAATCCCTTGAGTCATCCTTAACCAGGCAGCAATGTCCACCAAGATCTGATTATGAACCATGTATTCCGGTGGCCCAAATGTTTGCAAGGCAACGGATTGGGACAGATAGAGAGTATTATGGAAATCATCCCATTCAGGTTAGATCAAACGAAAAAGGATTGGAACAGTGGAACTGTAGTAGGTTTGCAAGCGCTTAATAATGAGACTATCTGTAATGTACGTAATTCTTCCTTAGCAAGACTGATGGTGATGGCACATGGTGAAAGCCTATGGAACAGTACTAGTAAAAATGTTTGCAAGCTTAGTCACGAACTTGCTGGGAAAGTCAGATTTTTAAAAACACACAACAACACAATTTTTTAATTGAACTACTCAAATAATAAACACAGACACCTTCTTTATCCTCCTAAAAGTATCTCTTTTATCTTGGTGGTACTTTTCTGCCACTTAAGCTCATTTTACTGATATTCAAGGCTTGGAGCAACACTCGAAAACCATCAGGGAAGCATGCAGTAATTAACAGATGCTCTTCAGTCCCTTGTCACATAACCAATCCAATAAATTCAATAATAATTCCTTAATGGAATAAAAGCTGAAAGGGTGAGCCTGGACCTGGAAATGCCATAAACATAGTAGCAAAACATTAGAAAGAGAAGTTAAGGCTAATGGACCTGGAAAGGGTTTGTGATCACATCTACCTTTCTCTCATTTACTGTTCACCTCCTTTTTTATATTCTTGTAAACAAATGGATCTTTGATATAAAGGGTTGAAAGGGATGCCTATTGATTGATGCGCCTACCATGCTAGCAGCACATATTTTTTCATGGTGTACTGGATAAAGAGTGCAATTATCTTCCAGCCTTGTCTCTCCATCTCACAGTGACCTCATAGGTGTCAGGGCAGGACTTGGCCACAGGCAGCAGTCAGAGGTGATCCAGGAACTTGGAATCAGCAGCTATGGGATGGAGTCAGTACTGAAAGACGAAGCAGGAACAAGCCAGGAAGAAGGGCTATAGGAACACACACAAAAAATAATAATCAGGAAGACCTTGTTACTCAAATAAGGCTTAACAGAATAATAAGTCCTCTTATAACTGTTCCTGTCCAGGTTGATCCAATGACCCAGTGCCATAGCATTGTTTCTATTTGGCCCACCATTTTCCCCAGGAAAACTCACTCATTACCACTAAAACGTCAACTGGGTCAGACTTCACAAATCTGGGTTACTGGAAGTTAAGGCTGGTGCCTTAATAGGTGTGCCTGGTGATTAGTAATGATGTTGTGCAATGATTTGTAAGTCGTGCTTGCTTACAACTTACCCTCCATGCCAAATCCAGGTGGGGACCAGCAAAAAATGTTCAACTATGTTGTCTGGTCCTGTATTGCCAATTAAGTTGTTTTTCTTTAGAAATACAGTCCTCCGGTGAGTTCACCCATGCCTGTTTGTTGCTCCACCCCCATCGTTCAGCCCGGACACTGAGGTCCAGCACCGAGGGCTCTTTAGCAGTTTCCTCACTGTGAGAAGTGAGGTTACAGGGAACCAGGCAGAGGGCCTTCTCGGTAGTGGCACCCGCCCTGCAGAATACCCTCCCACCAGATGTCAAGGAAATAAACAACTCTGACTTTTAGAAGACATCTGAAGGCAGCCCTGTTTAGGGAAGTTTTTAATGTTTGATGTTTTATCATGTTTTTAGTATTCTGTTTGGAGCCACCCAGAGTAGCTGGGGAAACCCAGCCAGATGGGTGGGGTATAAATAATAAATTATTATTGTTGTTGTTGTTGTTGTTGTTGTTGTTGTTGTTGTTGTTGTTGTTAAACCAAATTGAGTTATTAACTCATCAGGTGCCAATTTAATAATCTCCAGAATGTTATATTGGTGGGACCTTTCCCCCCTTATATTTGCCTTAAGTAATTTTATTTGTTATTGTTAGGGTTGCCATCTCTGTTTTACCCTGACAGGATTCTGTATCTTTGACAGTCACAGAACAGGAAATAATGAAGAGTTGGCTGTCATTCAGCAGCTGGAGGAACTGAACCCCTGTCAGGGACAACAGCAGTAGCAACACTATTCTTGGATGTAAAACTGAAATCCCAAGTGCACTGTGCTACCTATGAAAAGAAAAGAAAAAGTCAGACATACCATGTGCCTACATTCCCCAAATTTATAATAGCTAAGCCACCCTACCCACCTCCTGGCACTTCCTATTTATAACCAGAGGAACAGTCATGGCTGCCCCGCCAAGGAATTATGAGAACTGTAGTTTGTTAAGGTTGCTGACAATTATTTGTTGTTGTTTAGTCGTTTAGTCGTGTCCGACTCTTCATGACCTCATGGACCAGAGCACACCAGGCACTTCTGTCTTCCACTGCCTCCCGCAGTTTGGTCAAACTCATGCTGGTAGCTTCGAGAACACTATCCAACCATCTCGTCCTCTGTCGTCCCCTTCTCCTTGACAGTTATTAGGAGACCCCTATTTGCCTCACAGAATTACAATTCCCAGACTAGTTTTAACTACCAATATCTCTTCCCAAGGAACTCTGGGAATTGTACCTCTGTGAGGGGAAAGTAGCAAACATATTGTGGCATACTCTTTGGACCCCAGCACATAGTTTGGGAATCTCTGCCTGGTGCAACCAGAGAACTGACAAGCTCATGTGCCTCAGGATCTCAGGCGCCTTGGTGCCTATGAAGGTGAGCTGGAAACCAAACAAATTCAACTATACCAGTAGAATTCAAAAGCTCTACCCTCAGGAGAACCCTTTCCAAAAGAAAACAACAGGTCCATCCATCAGAGGCAAAATATCAAAAAGAAACCTGTTGAAGGAAATGCACTTTCCAGAA